CACATCAGTGTTCCTCGCAGGCTTCATCCTCTGGCCCAAGTTATAAGTCTCAGCAGTCTCAGCGTAGGCAGGGCTACAAACCCCCTGCAAAGAAAGCAAAGCGTTATCTTTGACTTACCTCCAAGTTGCCTTCTACCTACAAACACTACAAGACTCTCTCCGTTTCTTTCAAGCTGGTACGCCATTACAAACGACACATGGGTCTTAGATATCATCCAACACGGTTACCGTCTAGAGTTTACAGAGTTACCACCTTTAGAGTATGTAAGTCGTACAGCTTACAACATAGCCCTCGAAGAGGAGGTTTTGTCCCTTCTTCAGAAGGCCGCGATTCATACCGTGCCACTCTCGGATTTAAGAAACGGTTTTTACTCAAGATACTTCGCCGTTTCAAAAAAGGACGGCAGCATAAGACCTATTTTAGACCTACGGATTCTAAATACTTACCTTCGTCCCCGACGGTTCCGCATGGTGACTCTAGACTCCATTCTTCACCTATTAAGGAAAAACAACTGGTTCACAGTCATAGACTTAAAGGACGCTTACTTTCATGTGACAATCCACCCGCTACATCGAAAGTATCTTCGATTCTACTTTCAGGAAACCATTTATCAGTTCATTGCTCTACCTTTCGGCCTTTCGACAGCCCCCAGGACTTTCACGAAAGTTATGGCTCCTGTGGCAGCATATCTGAGACTCAGGGGCATTCACATCTACCCTTACATAGACGACTGGCTACTGGTATCGAGATCCAGAAGACAAGCCCTGAAGGACACAAGATTTGTCCTACAATTACTCCCACGACTAGGTTTAACTATCAATTTAAAAAAGTCTCACCTTTCGCCATCAAGAGTCGTACATTACATAGGCGCTCGCCTGGATGCTGCAAAGACAAGGATCTTTCTGCCCAAAGAAAGGGTACAAAAGATTCGAAACGCCATAAAAAGGTTCCGTCCGGGGGCACGCGTGACAGCGAAGCATGCTCAACATCTTCTAGGCTTGATGGCGTCAACAACTTCAACACTAGCTCACGCCCGGCTCAAACTACGTTCTCTGCAGTCATGCTGTTCGACCCCATGACAGACAGTCAGCGCAAGCGCCTTCTAGTTACCCCGGAATTAGCCAGCCAGCTACAGTGGTGGACTTATCCTCCTCACATTCAAGTTGGAAGGCCCTTCAAGCCACTGCAGTTGACAATATAGGTGACTACAGACGCCAGCCCCATTGGCTGGGGGGCTCATTCCGCTCACCACAAGATACACGGTCTCTGGTCTCCCCAAGAAATGAATCTCCATATCAATCACCTGGAGATGCTAGCGGTCATCAAGGCTTTTCGGGCGTTCCTTCCCATCGTGCAAGGTCGTGGTGTTCAAGTGATAACAGACAACACCACGACCATGCACTACATCAACAAACAGGGAGGGACACGTTCTCAGTCACTGCTGTATCTCACCATACATCTTTGGGAATGGTGTTATCTCCACCACGTATTCCCCGTAGCCATCCACATCTCGACCACAGCCAACACCTTGGCAGACCATCTCAGTCGCCTCCCATACCAGACACACGAGTGGGAACTCAACCCTCACGTGTTCCTCGACCTATGTCACCTTTGGGGATATCCTGCGGTGGACATGTTCACCTCGCAGCGCAACACGAAATGCACTGCTTATGCGTCCAGAGCCGGGATCGGCAAGAACTCTCTGGGGGACGCCTTTATGATTCAGTGGAACCTAGGTCTCCTCTACGCCTTCCCACCTTTTCCGTTGATCCAAAGGACTCTGGTCAAACTTCGGCAGTCTCACGCGACAGCAATCCTCATAGCTCCACATTGGCCTCGGCAGACATGGTTCCCAACTCTAACGAATATGTCCACCGAATTTGTGAAATTGCCACTGACTCCAGACCTCCTGACGCAGGATGCCGGGACAGTGCTGCATCCAGACGTAGAGACTCTGCAATTGACTGCGTGGAGGATCTGCCCTTGATCAAGGAGGTGTTAGACCGGGCCAAAAAACCCTCCACCACCAGGCTGTACGCCCACAAGTGGAGGGGTTTTGTCAAGTTTACAGAGGATAGGGGACTTGTTTCATCCCCAGCGTCCCTTTCCACACTGTTACTGTATTTGCGTCACCTTTTTGATCTCCAGTTGTCTTTATCCACTATTAAGGTTTATCTGGCTGCTATCGTTTCTTTCCAGCCTAAGGATTCTGCTTCCGCAGGTTTTTTCTCTCACCCTACAGTCAAGGCTTTCCTTAAGGGACTTTCTAACCTGAGACCTCCTATACGACGGCCTCTACCCCAATGGTCTCTTCAATTAGTTCTCCGCGCCCTTACCCGCGCTCCCTTTGAACCTATGGCTACCTGTGACTTCAGATTGTTGTCATTTAAGACAGTGTTCTTGGTAGCCATTACATCGGCAAGACGAGTTAGTGAACTCGCTGCATTACGTTGTGACCAACCTTTCCTATAGTTTTTCAAGGACAAAGTTCAGTTGTACCCAGACGTCTCCTTCTTGCCCAAAGTTGTGTCGGATTTCCATTTGAATCAACCACTCTCTTTACCTACTTTATTTCCTGAACCTGCTACTGACACCGAGCGCATGCTCCATACACTGGACGTCAGGAGGGCTCTAGCTTTCTATGTGTCCAGGACTAAGGACATTAGGACCTCTAACAGACTTTTCATCTGTTATTCTGGGCACAAGAAGGGCTCACCTACAGCAAGTTCTACACTCTCCAGATGGCTCGTCTCCACTATCACGTTGGCATATGAACTTCACCATAGGGCTCCGCCTGAAGGTCTACACGCTCATTCAACCAGAGCCGTTGCATCATCGACAGCCCTAGTACGTGGTGTTGATGTCCCAGAAATCTGCAGGGCTGCCACATGGTCTAATGTGTCAACGTTCATTACCCATTATAGACTTGACGTCTAAGCCAAACGAGAGACAAGTTTTGGGAGAGCTGTTCTAACTTCCATTCTCCAGTGACATCCCACCGTCCAGTGAGTAAGCTTGCTAATCACCCTTTTGTGTGCATTCACAGAAGACCACGATGAAGAAAGAGAGGTTACTTACCTGTAACCATGGTTCTTCAAGTGATCATTCTGTGAATTCACACAATCCCACCCGGCCTCCCCTCTATCTGTCACTGTTGGATTTACCTCATGTTTAGGTACCTGTGGCGGATAAATGGAACTGAGGCTTGGGTGGGCGGAGCATGCGCAATGGAGGCAGCCTACAATTGTTACATTTCTATTACAGCTCGAGAACATTCCGAGAGGACCGGCGCTGGCGCTTGGTTAACCCTTTTGTGTGAATTCACAGAATGACCACTTGAAGAACCATGGTTACAGGTAAGTAACCTCTCTTTATAGTGCATTTTAGTAAAAACAATTTTGAGTTTTACAGTGGCAGTATGAGAGCCAGACTCAAAATGGAAGATAAGATAGCTCGCTTTCTCATTCAGTAGTACATTTCTGCCTTCATAAGCCACAAACATTGAAGAGACATAGTTTTCATTAAGAGATGAATAGTATTTATGAAGTGTTACATTATTAGCAAGTGACACTTCAAAAAATACTAACAGTCTCTTAAACAGTCTCCTTTTTTCTTTTCTTTTTTACAGATATGTGCAAAGCAATAGATCTGAAAAACAGATATGTGAAAAGGTGTTTTTATAGTTGGAACTTAAGTATTTTAAAACAAATTGTTGAGTTCCAGATTTTTATAAGGACATCCCTGTGCCAGAGAAACTGTGAGATATAAACTCATTGATTAGTGAAGAATAAACTTAAATTTATTGTGTTATTTGGATATCTTGAGTGTAATACAGTGCCTCGTTTTACGACGTTAATTTGTTCCAGCAAAATCGCTGTAGAGCAAAAACGTAAAGCGAAATAAAAAAGCCCATTGAAATACATTGAAACCCGTTCAATGCGTTCCAGTGAGCTGAAAACTCACCATCCAGGGAAGATCCTCCATAGGGGCGGCCATTTTCGGTACCTGTGCAGCGAGGAATCCATCCCTAAGCACAGTGGGGGGGCATTTTCTTCAGCCGGTGGCCATTTTGAAACCCGACAATCAGCTGTTTTTGATCATCGTAAAGCGAAAATCGGTTTCTGAAGCAGGGAACCAATCATCGCAAAGCAGAAAAACCCCATTCAAACCATCATTTTGCGATCACAAAAGCGATCGCAAAAAACTCACCATCAAGCGGATTCGTCGTTAAGCGGGGTAATCGTAAAGCGGGACATGACTTTACAGTGACATAACAAAAATTCAATTTATATGCATATGCATTTTTCATTTACCGTATTTTTCGCTCCATAAGACGCACCTTTCCATAAGACGCACCAATTTTTTAGGAGAAGAAAACAGGAAAATATAATCTGTTTTCTTCGCTCCATAAGACGCACAGACTTTCCACCCCCCTGTTTTGTGGGGGGAAAGTGTGTCTTATGGTGCGAAAAATACGGTATTTCATTTAATTGTGGGAAATTATATTTTGTCAGATTTGAAATTCAAAATGAAATTGAATATACAGTATGTAAAATCAAATTCAACTATAATACTAACATTAACCTAATGTGATAGGATGGGTCTCTCAGTGCTGGACTTTGGGAGATGGGTACCTGAAACCTGGCTGCAGATGACCAAGTATTTAGGGGTACATACATGTCTAGGTGTTCAGTGAATGATTTAACAATAGCACCCGTATAACAGAAACTAAACAAAACTCTTGCGGCACTTTGAAGACTAATAGATTTATTTCAGTGGCATTATTTTATGGAAAACTCCTGAAATAAACTGAAAAAAAATCTGCTTTACTTTTATTTTAAATGTGCCACAATATTTCTTCTTCATTTGTGTGTTTGTTTTCATTATACTTCTTGAGACAGACCAATTGAAAATTGGGAAAAACTAGCTCTGAAGAAATATACATTTGTTACAATTCTGTTTCATTAAGAAGATCCAAATTAGATTTCTTTCCCTCCAGAAAGAACATTTCTCTGTTCAAAATCAGTACAGAGAAAACCAATACAGAGGAAAGGATGGTGGAAATTGGCAGCAAAAAGTAAGTAATATTGTTCAATGTGCTCTGAATATAACAAAAGGGTTCTCTGAAATACTGTATAATGCTGCTTTCATTGTTCGTTCAGTGGGTTAAACAGTTTGGCTCTAAAGAACAGTTGTGTATGGTCAGACATGTTGGACAAGTAAATTATTTTCAGTATAAATGAGTGATATCCCTTTTGTCCTGATTGTAGTACCGTCTTTTCTTCCTTGGAAAGAACAGGGCCTAAGGACAAAGAAGCTAAAAATAAAAATGTGTAACTCACCCTTTTTTGTTATTTTGAGTACAGTGGGGTCTCGACTTACGAACGACCCTTATTTGCGAACAATTCAACTTACGAACCCACCCGATAGGGAAATAAGGACTCGACATACGAACTTCCCTCGAATTACGAACAGGAAAAAAAGTGCCCCCTCCCTCCCCTTAGAGGCTTCTGGAGGGGGAAAAGGGTCAGAAACTGAAAAATAAATAAAAGAAAGTCACTTACCAGGACTTGGTAGCCCCCGAACTGCAGAAAAAAGAGCAGCAAACAGATAAAAGACGACACCCAGAAGGGAGCCTGGCAGACATTTTGTGCTTTTCTCCGCTCCTGCCCCCTCCTCTCCCCGCTTAACAGCTGATCGGCTGGCTCTGAAGAGGCTTGGGGAGGCTTGCTCAGCACCTAAAAAGGCTGAGGTGTGAGTTCCAGACTCCTGCCTGTGTGTCTTTGTGCTGAAAAAATCAGCACAACATGTTTTAAAACATGCTTTAAAATTGGCTTCATTGAAAAAAAAGATTTCAAAAATGCTTTGCAAACTGTTCCCTGCCTCCCCCCTCCTTTCCTGAACTTTTCTTGACCTAAGAAAAAAAAAAGAAAAAATATCCCCCTCTATTGGTAGAAGGCGGAATAGCAGCTTCCCATTAGTTTCTATGGACGGAAAAGAGCAGATACGGATTAAATGGTTTTCAATGCATTCCTATGGGAAATGCAGATTCGACCTACATACTTTTCTACCTACAAACCGCCTTCCAATATGGATTAAGTTTGTAAGTCGAGACCCCACTGTATTTTTAATGTTGTTTCAAAGGGTACTGTGGCATCTGCCCAGGTCACGAATATTCATCTGCTATCAGCATAAACCAATGGGAGTGCTGGAGGGGTGGAGTCACGAGATATTAGAGACTCAGCAGGAGGAGGGGGAGTTTAGATAGGGAGTTTTGAGAGAGAGTTGAACAGTTTGGTGTGGGTTTTGGGAATTTGGGTGGGAAAGGGGTGGTTGAGAGGGGATGAAGGAGGGTGTTTGTTAAAAGTTAACAACATTGCTTGAATTATCTATTTCTGTAACAATAAACAATTTCTATTTGGTTCTTTTAAAATGGCGTATGACCTGGACCTCGATTATTAATAATAGGTAATGATGATGTAATAAACTGTTGGCAGCTGAGGGGCATGTAGCGTGAGTTCCTAGTGTGGTGAAACAAGCAGGGGCCACGTGGGAATCGTGACAGGTACATTGACAAAAATGTTTATGGAATTGAATATGTTATTTTACAAATGAATCATAATTGTATAATTTTAAGTTAACATCGTCATAAACTTTAGCACATCTAGTTTGTTGATGAGTATTACGATGCAGGAGTACACCTTTTAATATGATCCAATACAATGAACAAACCAAATAGATTATCACAGTATCATACAAATCTGTTGTTGTATTTTTAGAAAATGGTAAACTGCAGGCAGTTGAGTTATGAAGATGAAAATTGCTTGACTCAAGACGGTTGCAGGCAAATATACCCAGCTTTCAAACAAACAAATTTCAAGGACTGGAGCAACACGAATAATCCAAATCCAGGCAGTGGAAGAGTATACATCAATCCCAGGGAACTTTATGTGTGATTTGACTTCTCACTTATGAATTGATGAAAGTAACTTGACTTTGTCTAATCACTGTTTTATACCACATGGATTTCAGATTAATGCACGTTCTAAGTTCATTGAGTGCTTTGTTTTTTTCCTCTGTGAAAGAAGAGCAAAAGGAAATAGGAATAGTGACAAAAAATTAAATGTTTGTAGAGCAGTGGTTCTTGATATTCAGTTGTTATTTTAATTTACAAGTGCATCAGTCACAGTACCCTATGTATTTTAAGACATACCCATTTATTCATCTGTAGCTTAAGTATACAGTTATTAATGAAGTTAGACTGCTTTTCTAGCTGACCCTCTGAATTCTTTCTTTTTGAAAAATGTGCTTAATGATCATGCTACTGACAATTTCCTCCTTTCTCACATATCATTCACTGTAATACATTTCTCTTACTCCCTGGTTACTGCTTGCAGAGGTACAGATAGTCACAGTGTGATATTATTACATCATGTGTTCTGCAATGTTACTGAAAGGAATGTCTTGAGAAGAAGAGCACATGTTCTTCTGCATTAAGTAGCAGCCACACCTATTTATAATAAGCTAAATCCAGTATTAGTTTCACCTAGGGAAGAGCTGTTAAAATCAATGAGACTTGTGTTAGTTGTAAATGACAGGTTCTGTTTTTTAACCTATTGCACATCAGACTAAGATTTCACATTCAGAAAACAAAGGAATTTTCAGTAGCTGGCTTGTACTGTATGTTGCACAGCTTTTATGATTTGTCTTCATATGAATAGCATTTCACTTGAACCAAATTTTCTTAGTTATTTGCTTAATTTGCCATTCCATGAATAACAATTGGAATATTGGTAGAGGAAGGACTGGGTACAAGTCCTACAGAAAGATGAATAAAAGTTAATATAGTAGCAAGAGTGATGTATCACAATTATTTTAAACTGTTTTTGTTTCCTATTTAATTGAATTAGGGTGGGGAACAGTGTTTCGTTTTCTTCTGTATTTGTCATACAAAATATTTTTGCTAATTCCTTTGATCCATTTAAATGTAATCGATGATCATATAGCTGTAAAGACCTCCACATTCATCCTTCACATATCACTTGCAAGATGTATCAGCCATTTTATGTGTTTGCTTCTTGGTGGTGCTCAAAGTTAGCTTCACCTGGTAGGTCTTTCTTTTTTGTAGACTTGCAAACGTAAACACAGATGATCACATTTCTGCTGCCAACAACAGAAGAATAAGATAAACAGAAAGAGTTCCACAACTCTACATTCAGTTAATCTTCTTTCTGATTTTGTGGCACTATGTCATATGTTTTGTGAAGTTCATAGAAATGTAAATAAATATTTGAACAGACTTCTGAGTATATTTCTCAAGATAAGTAGAGTAATAATTGTATAGTAACTCTGAAATGCAAATTAGGTACTAATGCACAGCATTTATGTAAATAAGGTGGATAAATCAATTATTCCCCTACAAAGCAGGCAGGCATTTCAGTGATACGTGTATGGGAGCGTAGCATGTCTTAGTTGTACAATTGCCTGCATAATTCTGCAATATAAAAATATCCTTTTGGGGAAAAAGGAGATGGAACTAGGGATCTAATAAAATGCAAAAGAGAGTTTAAACTCTTAATAAAGATGTATCTCATATTTTAAAAACACAGTAGTTAAAGGCTGACATTCTGTTGGCACATCAGTTCCCCTGGAAAATAATGCTGGCTCTGATTCCAAAAAACAAACCAGGAATAGTTTTTAATTTTTTTGTAAAATATTTTGGTGTGTGCCAACTTCTGTATATTTTGAGAACATGTTAAGGTAGCAGTTTTCATTCAGCTGTTTTTGGTATGCATGGGCAGAAGCCATTAATTCAATTTATTTCTGTATTATGTTCAAAATCAATGGCATTCTAAAACAGTGAGAAGGGGTTGGGCACCAGTTTTTAGGAGCCTTTGCACCCCCAATGAACATTTAGAATTTGGTTTAAGTTCCTTTAGAGTTTGGGCTGGAAGAGTTTCAGGACCCTTCCTAATTACTTTTCCTCTCTGATAAGCATAATAGAACATGGTGCAAGATTATTACTTTTCTAAAAGTTAAATTTGTCTTCCATCATTACCCATGTATTACACAATACATGTTGCAAGGCATACAAAATATTTAATGCCAGTTCCATTTGAAGTAAGCTTTATTAAATATATTCATTAAATGTATACCTCTTTCAAAGGTTGGACTTTAGTTGCCTATTTTTCATTATGTTGTGCATTTTCATCATGCAGCAAAACAGTTTCAGTTACTGGTCTGATTTGTAAATAAACAATTTAAACTTTCAAAGTAGTTGTTCTGCTGTGTTTTCTTTTGGGAAGCAATGAACTTATTCTGGTTTAAAAGGTTTCTTGATATCCTATTAACAGTGAACTCTGTTATTCAGTGCTAACAAAAAATGGAGCCACAGACAAACAAGGGAGTAATGTCAACATGCACAGGGCAACCCAAGGTTTGCAGAAGTATTGCAAAAGTAAAGTCCCCCCTCTAAGCAGCCCAGTGGGAACTGCACCAACTCACTAGAGAGCATGGACCATGCAACATTGCGTAAGCTGGGAAGTTGAAAGAAAAGAAGGAAGCCTGTGGAAGAGAGTGTACTGATTGTTTGAACCTTTAATAGTATTCGGTGTCCCAGAAAAAAGCAAGGCTGGCTAGCAAGGTGCCTGAATAAGAACACTCCTATTAAGGCTTGATTATACACACAGTATGTGTCATTAATATACTTTGATAAAAATGCAGAAGTCACCTAATCAACATAGTAGCCATCATTTAAACTGCAGCTGCTTTAAACTTCAAAACAGGTTTTAAATTTTCTGTCTTTAGGGCCTCCCTTAAAGTGTAGGTCTCAGAACTTCAATTTGTTTTTTTAATTCAAAATCCATCAAGATGTTCACTCTTGTATCATTCTGGCTGTGCCTCCGCACTGCAATAAATTCATGCAGAATTTACAGGTTCTGAGTGGGAAACAACATTTTGCATTTCAGGGACAAGTATATGAAAGGAATTGATTTAATTATTTGCAAAGGAAAAATAATTTGAGATGATCAACATGCAGAATATGAATAATTATATGCCCAACATAAACCTCTACCCAACATAGGAAGCAAAATGAATTAATGGAATATACCAATATGGATATGATGCAAGAGCTACTTGATTTAAAAGAGGTAATCTTGTGAAGATTTTTTAAAAAATCAGGCTTTAGCCACCACTACAAATATGATGAACAAATACAGCTTTATATGCAAAGTCTTATAAAACACCAGAAATGGAACATTAATTGAGCAGCAATTGCTCCATACTGCCTGCAGCTACTTGCACTTCCTTCAAAGCAGCATTTCTCAAATTCTGGTCTTAGGACAACCAATGAGTTTCAAACCGTTTTTTTGGGCCTCAGTACTACAGCCTACCCGAGACTTCCAAGCAAAATGAAGAGATATTTAAAACCCTGTCAGTGCAGAAAGATAACTTACAATTATGTGTGAAAGCAAGAGAAGAAAATAAATGACAAGATTATTAAGAATACTTTTGGAAGCATGGCAAGGGAAAGAGTGGGTCAGGAGGAAGAAAACTATGAAGCCAGTTTTTCTTAGTTGATTTATTTTACTTTCCTGTAGAATTCAGCATAAGTTATCCAGTAATTTAACAATTCTTTCCCCTTACAGGGAAAACGAATTATATATTGAATCCAATTGCCCCTCCCTTCTAAATTCTATGTGTGTGTTTCAAATCTCATTATTGTAGTATTTCCCTTCTGTGGATGGTTACCTCTTGTCTTCAGCTGAAGCCAGAAGTTTTATCCAACATATTTCCCCTTTTTCATATAATTGGAAAGATGAAAGTACAGTACAACCTAGTTTTTTGTCCTATTGTTCCTCAATTTGATATACGGTACATTTTGAAATTACTGTTTTTATATGCCTATACTATTTCCCCTAGTTTTTTTCTTGAAAATCTTTCATGTGCAAATGAATTCCAGTGTATTTTCCCTGTAAATGGTAATTTCAAGTTTCATGGGGGTTTATGTACAGGACACACCTCCAGTAGTTGTCAGTATACAGTGCACACACTTCTTTAAGGGAAAGAGTGGGTCAGGAGGAAGAAAACTATGAAGCCAGTTTTTCTTAGTTGATTTATTTTACTTTCCTGTAGAATTCAGCATAAGTTATCCAGTAATTTAACAATTCTTTCCCCTTACAGGGAAAACGAATTATATATTGAATCCAATTGCCCCTCCCTTCTAAATTCTATGTGTGTGTTTCAAATCTCATTATTGTAGTATTTCCCTTCTGTGGATGGTTACCTCTGTCTTCAGCTGAAGCCAGAAGTTTTATCCAACATATTTTCCCCTTTTTCATATAATTGGAAAGATGAAAGTACAGTACAACCTAGTTTTTTGTCCTATTGTTCCTCAATTTGATATACGGTACATTTTGAAATTACTGTTTTTATATGCCTATACTATTTCCCCTAGTTTTTTTCTTGAAAATCTTTCATGTGCAAATGAATTCCAGTGTATTTTCCCTGTAAATGGTAATTTCAAGTTTCATGGGGGTTTATGTACAGGACACACCTCCAGTAGTTGTCAGTATACAGTGCACACACTTCTTTATCATGTGTAGAGCCTAGTCTGAAGCTGTCATTTAACCTAACATAATGTTCCCTTTATGGAAAGGGAAAAAAATCTGTTGCAATCCATTTGGTGCCATTCTCCTCCTTTTCATTTATTACATCTGTAATTTAAAATTATTAAATTTTGTATCAGAACTGCTGCTATGCCCAGATTTTCTTCAAGGAGAACTTGCTTACTCTGTGTCCAGCTGCTGCTCCTGCTCCTACCACAAATAACAGTGCCAGTGCCAGCTCAGCTGCCAGAGGCAGTTCTTGCAGGGTGCTTGCTGTGGCTGTTGTGCTTTTGAGCCCTGGAATTGTGGAGGGCAACAGGGCCCCAGTCATGCCTCAGAACCATGAGCTGATTTTGCTTTTCAAGTGTCGCTTTCTGATCCTACAGTGTCAGGCAGGGCACATGATGTGCAAGCTGCTGATCCCCTGCGTCTAGGTCAGCAGCTCTGCTCCAATTTGCTATCAGGAGCAGAGCTGCTGACCCAGACACAGGGGATCACTCACTCACACACACCCATCATTCCAAATATCACCATAGAGAAGGTGGCCGCAGCCATCCTGTTCCCTTGGAAGATAAGGAGAGAGAGAACTTGGGCAGCAGTCTGCAGAACCATTGAGAAGGGTGGGCAAGGATGGAGTGAAGGGTTTTTTTTTTCGTGGTCTCTGTCTCTGCCCTTGAGGTTGTGACAGTTCTCTAAATGGTTTTATTAAGAAGCGGTTCTGTTTAGGAAACTTCCTACTCATGGGACAGGTTAGTACAATCAGGTTGACTGATCAACCTCATTACTACAAACAAATGCAGCTGACTGGATAGCTCAGTGGTTTAGATATCTGGCATTTGAGCCAGAGGTTGGGCGTTTGATTGTCTACTGTGCTTCCTGTGAGTAAAGCTAGCCTGAGTGACCTTGGGCAAGCTGCACAGTCGCAGGTCACCCTCAGAAGAAGGGAAGCAGTTCTGAGTCCTCTCTACCTGGAAAACCTTTAAAAGATCACCATAAGTCAGAATTGACTTGACAGCTTATTATTACTAGAAACAAATGGAGAATATCTAAAGCTGTGGTGGAGGGCGTGGTATCTTTATTCTTATGCTATCCTTTCAGTTAAAATAGCTATTGTAACCACCGTTTTGTTTCAGGGGCAAATAAGTTTAAAAAGACACCAAAAAAGGGACAAAAGATGGGAACACAAAAGAAGACATTTTCATGTTCCTCTTTTTTAAAAAAATGAAAGATTCATATTCCAGATGCTCTCTTAACAACTAATGAAAGAACATGAAAAAGAAAGTTAAGAGTCTCTTTCGAAAAAGAAAGTTAAGAGTCTCTTTCATGTTTACCCCATTTGCAGCAAACAAAATTCCCATCCCTACAGTCAATATTTCTTTCAGCTTTTTGCTCTTGTAAAGTTCTGTTTTTATGGCTGAAAAACAGATGTATAACATTCCATCTGAGATCATTCTTCAAAAATAAAGTAGAACATATCTGTAGTTAAAATAAATGTTTAAGAAATACTTAAGTACAATATTTAGAACATAGCTGGTAGCTTAAGGTGTTTGTCATGAAATGAACTGTGTCTGTAGGCTGGTGTTATGTAATAAATTAAAACTTGTTCTTCAAGGAGCCTCATGGCACTTTGGCCGAACTGCTGTACTGCAGCAAAAATTCTGTTCATGATCTGAGTTATGTCTGAAGCCTTTTCTTTCTTTTTTTAAAATGGAGTTTCACTTCAGTCTTTGTAGGTTGGGGGGCTAGAATGTTGTGAGAATCAGCTTGTAGATATCTGGGTAAGAAAAAACAGAGTGCATGAAGAAAAGACCCAGATGCTCACACATGATCAAGAGAGTTCAGTGCAATGTATATATAGGCATCCTTCAGTCACAAGAGACTATGGTAACATGCTCTGAATCGAGGAGTGTCCTCTCCAGAGCATGAAGCCCGGGTAAGGTAATATGGAGGATAGGCTGTTACCCAAGCAGCAGATCCCCCCTCTCCACATTGCTGAAATGATCCAATGGAAAGGCAAGAGCCAATACAACTGGTTCCAGCAATGTCGCAGGAGTTGGCAGAACGACACATGCTGCCTTCGGGATCTCCTTTCTTTTACTATGTGTAACTGCTTGCACCATGAGATACTAGATGTTTCCATGAATCAGGTCAGAAAATATAAGACAGTCGCACAGCCAGGAATCATATAGCCATACTACCAGTTCAGTATAGCTGCTTTTAATCTGTTTTTGGGGAGAAAGGATAGAAATACAATGAAGAATTAATAAATGTGCTCAAACTGGAAAAAATTGTGTGCTCTTTTCATTTCTATTGGTGGGTTTGCATTTTTTTAAAGGCTGTCCTCTGCTCCTTTGCATGCTTTAGTTCAAACTGTTTTTGTTGAGTTGTATTTGTAGCTTATCAGATGAATCATTCATGTGGAGGAATGAATGTGTTTGGGTCCTGAAATACGTACTTTTCAAATGGTAGACAGTGCTTTCTCAATCACAGGGAACATGGCAATCTGGTGAAATGTCAGAACTTGCTTTTTGTTACTAGGTAAAGATAAGGCAGTACACAGAGTAGATAACAGTTCAGGCATCTTGCCTTCAGCTGTGCCTTAGGAAGAATG